ACGACGCGTAGATGTGGCACACCGCCATGACAATCTCGCCCTCCTTTGCCTGGAGGCCGAGCTTGAGCGCCGTGTTCTCCGCGGGCGCGGCAGCCTCCTTGGGGGCCATGGCTGTCTGCACGAGAGGCGGGGGCGGGACGCGGGGGTGGGCGACCGTGGGGGGCTCGCCGCGTGGGCGGGCGGTGGAGTGGCGAGAGAGCTAGAGAGAGGAAGCGAGCAGCACCTGGGGCTGCGCGCCACGAGTCAGCCACGAGTTTGTTTTTTTGAGAGCGCCTTCGTTGTAAATAATACAAACCCAATGGTCCCTTGCGAGCGGTCCTTCGTTGCAGTCTCACACACGCACACGCCACGCCGCACCAGTTAGTTTGTTTTTTTACTTCTTCCAGCAGACCTTCTCTCTCAATCTCTCTCTCTCTCTCTCTCTCTCTCTCTCTCTCTCTCTCTCTCTCTCTCTCTCTCTCTCTCTCTCTCTCTCTCTCTCTCTCTCTCTCTCTCTCTCTCTCTCTCTCTCTCTCTCTCTCTCTCCACGAGTCGCGTGCGTGTTTTCTTTTTCACCCTCAGGAGGGTGTGATGTGTGTGTGAGAGAGAGATGACAGATGTGTGTAGGAGGGCGATCAAGGGTAGGTAGGATAAGGGTCAACCTCCAGCGCTCCAGGAGACGGGGGGCCGTCGGCCCGTCGCACCTTTCCTTAGGGGGCCTAGAGAACCCTTTGCCCTCCTTTGGGAGCTCGTAGTGAGTTGGGGTTCGATAAGGGGAAGGTGGCCCCCCGCACTAACCGCCTCTGCAAGAGCACTACGCCTCAGCGGGCTCATACTAGCACCCACCCGAGCCGCCGAGGCTGCTGCTGGCACTCAGGGCCGACTTTCTGGCCCAGCGAGGCCGCTGCGGGGCACACGGCGGCACGAGTCACTCCTCAACACAAACCCCGTCGAAGCAGGAAGTATGGAAAGGCGGGGCGCGGTATGGTAAAGAACGACGGCACGGCGGACAGTAAGGAGCGGCGGCAGGATAACGGCAACGGATGGCGGGGCGTCGGTCGGCTGGGCAGAGCGGGCAAGCGAGCAGCGGGGCGGCGGGAGGGTGACGTGGCGGGGTGGATCACGAGGAGGTAGAAAGTCGGGCGCGAGCGGGCGAGGTAGCGGCGAGGCGGCGGGAGGGTGAGCTGACGAGGCGAGGGGGGTGGCGGGTTGGATCACGAGGAGGTAGAAAGTCGGGCGCGAGCGGGCGAGGTAGCGGCGAGGCGGCGGGAGGGCGACGGGCGAGGGGGGTGGCGGGTTGGATCACGAGGAGGCAGAAAGTCGGGCGCGAGCGGGCGAGGTAGCGGCGAGGCGGCGGGAGGGTGAGCTGACGAGGCGAGGGGGGTGGCGGGTTGGATCACGAGGAGGTAGAAAGTCGGGCGCGAGCGGGCGCTGAGGGAGGGTGTAGAGGATGTAGAGTGTAGAGCGCTGGAGAGCTGTAGAGCTGGAGAGCGCTGTAGAGCTGTAGAGCTCTACATCCGGCGCGTGACGATGTGAGTCCGATGTAGAGCGATGTAGAGGCGCTCTACAACGTGAAATCTCTACAACAAACTCTACACCATAAGCGGCGAACGAGGCACGGTCGCTCTCCGACATGAGGCGCGTTGCACTTGCCAGTGCTGCCCTGGCCTTCTGGCTTCTGTCTGCCCGCCCAATGGGTGGCAGGTGCCTCTGCTCAGCCACGCCGCCGTAGGCGATCGCATCGTCCGGCCGCCGCCACCGCTGCCGCCTCCGCCGCTGCCTCCGCCTCCGCCTCCGCCTCCGCCTCCGCCTCCGCCTCCGCCTCCGCCTCCGCCGCTCAAGCGCTGGTCGTGCCGGGGGGTGGCGGCTGGCGGGAACGCCGACGCGAAAATCAGAAGCAGAAGCGGCAGGAGGAACGGCGTTTATATGATGCGGGCGACCCGACTGCCGTGCGACTGTTCGAGGAACGGGCGAAGGCGAAGCGGCAAAAGCGGCAAAAGGCCGAGGGCTGATAGTATACATGGCACGCCTTCGGAGTTCGGTGTGAGGGAGGGGTTCAGAACGGGGTCAGTGAGGTTCAGAAGGGGTTCAGAATGGGGTTCAGAAGGGGTTCACACCATGATGCAACCGATTGGTTGGCATCCGTAGAGTGAGAGGCGCCAGGGGCCCAGCGCGGCGCCCCTTGAGTGCTTTATACCGGATTTTGATGTTAGTGGCAAAACCGCGGAACCGAAAATGGCGTTTAATTTTGCGCCCCTGCTGCGCCCCGCCTGCGGCGGCGCTGCGCGCCGCTTACGCGCGCTGCGCGCGCTTTCTTTTGACCGCGCAAGATATAAGGGTGTCCTAAGGGCTCTGCTCGCAAGGCGCCCGCGTCGCAGACGCGGTACCATTGTTTGACAAATCTGCAATATACCCCCACACGAGAACAAATAGCAAAATCCGAATACCGTGCACGAAGTGGGCGATGTGGGAAGCCTTCAGCTGGTGCCAAGACATTCGTAAAATAGTTAGAGGCTGCGCAGGCCGTCCCGTTTGCTGTTTGAAACGCCTGTTGCGCTGGCCGCTGCGCGCGCGCGCCGCGCGCTGGCCGCTGGCCGCTGCCGGGGCTCTGTCTCACTCTCACGTGCCGCAATATGTGTCACACACGGCGGCTTCTGCCACCTCTCGATTGGTTCCACTTTCTACGCACACCTACCGGGGAAGGGGCGCTTGGGAGCCGGGCCGGGCGCGGGGGCGGGGGCGGGGGCGCGCAGCGCGGCGGCACGGCGCGCGCAACAGAGGGAAGGGCGGTTAACACGACAAGGAGGGGGCGGCGGCGGGGCGACGGCGGCAACGCGCGCGCGGCGCGCGCGACGGGGGGCGGAGCAGCGACCGCTGGCGCGGCCGCTGCTCCGTCTGTGCCAGGGACGCGCGCTTTGCGCCGCTGCAGAGCGCGCGCGTCAGGGCAAGGGGCATGCGTGGCGGCGCGGGACGCGCGGCGGCGGCGGCGAGCAGCCTCCGTGAGCGGTGAGGCGGCCGGGCGAGGGCGCGGCGGGTGACGGGTCAAGGGAGCAGCCCACACCCTCGCTTTTTGAGCGACGCTGTGGCACGCCTGCGCAGGGGCCGCAGGGCGGTCAGTTGTGGGGCGAGGCGGTGCCGGCCGCGGGCCGGGTGCAAGGCGCCGGCCTCGGCGCCGCCTCGGCGCGCCGCACGGGCCGCGGCGGGTGACGGGTCAAGGGAGCAGCCCACACCCGGCGTCGCTTTTTGAGCGACGCTGTGGTACGCCTGCGCAGGGGCCGCAGGGCGGTCAGTTGTGGGGCGAGGCGGTGCCGGCCGCGGGCCGGGTGCAAGGCGCCGGCCTCGGCGCCGCCTCGGCGCGCAGCACGGGCGCGGCGAGCCTCTGAGCGGGAGCCGAAGGTTTGCCTGTGGTGGTGGGGGTGATTTGACTTCTCGGCAGAGGCCGTCCCTAGCTGTGAACAGCAAAACGGGACAGTATTGAAGCCAAGAACGGCCGCCAAATCCGTGCTTTCGGAGCAACTGAGGGAAAGCCGCTGATCGAGCCCAGCGTGCCCGCGGCCGCCTCCCGCGCAGCACCGCCGCTGCGGAATCGGATCGAGCCCATGGAGGAGGAGGGCGCAGTCGGCCAGCGCTGCAGGCGGAGTCCCTCCCCGCGCCGGAGCCCCCTGCAGTCGAGGGAGTCCTCGTTGGCGATGAAGGTGGCGACATCGAATCGCGGCCGACACACGTCACGTGGGAGGAATGGGCGATGAGCGGGAACGATGCGCGCTACGACGCCGACTCCGCCGTGCTCGTGGCCGCCAAGCAGAAAGCCGCGCTCCAGGAGCACGCCAAGATGCAATGGCTCGCTTGCTTCGATTCAGCTCTCTCGGCAGCAGAAGTGGGGCTGGAGCGGGTGGGGGTGGATGCCGATTGAGGGGGAGCGTCTCCAGCTGCGCCCTGTGCCTGTGGCAGCTAGTCGAGGGACTTGGTAGTTGTGACCCCCCTGAGTGAGGACAGGAGAGAGAGAGAGCGTTTTGTGGTGTTGGTGTACGCAATAACGGGACAGGGTGGTTGTTCTCTCTATCTCCTCTTCTAGCTCTTAGCATGAGCTGCGCCCTGTGTCCGACCCCTTTTGCGCAGCAACACCTTAAACTTTCAGGCCCTCCAAATTCGGGTCGGAGCGTAGCGGAGTGGGCCCCGAGTTTGAAAAGGGCGACGGACGCTTGCGTCCTAGCCTCCAACAACGCCTCCCCGGCGCAGAGGGGCCCCCGGAGGGATGCACAACCGCTCCACGCCACGCCGCTTGCGGCGGTCCTCTTCCCAGCTCCGCTGAGGGCCCGTGCGTTATCTCTCTTTTTCACACTGTAATTTTACAAAAAAAATGCCCCTACCACCCAAGACTGCTTTCAGACGCTTACGCCAATTTCCGCTCAACCTGCGCAAATCGTGACCCCCAGAACTCGTGATACCCGAGGAGTCTCGAGCTTCAGCTGGCGAATCATGCCGCTCTCGGCACAGAAGCAGCGCGAGCGCCGCGCCGCGCAGCGCGCTGCCGAGGCTCAGGACGCGGCTCGCGGGCAGCGCAACCGCCCGGCGCCGAGCCGGTGCTAGGCCGCCTCCGCTGCGCCTGCTTCCTTGCGCGCCGCTGGACGTCGGCCGAGAAGACCGCTTCCCTCTGGGGACCCGACTCCGCGAAGATCGCGTCGTGAGTGGCGGCGCGCGCGCGATCTCCGTTCCCGGGCACGCCGGTCGCAGTGGCATGGGCTCCCAGGCTCAAAAGCGCTCCCGCCAACAGCGAGCGAGCGCCGCCGCTGCTCCTCCTCCCGCCGCCGCTCACCGAGACTCGGTGCCGCCGTTCTCGCCGCCGCCGCCGCCGCCGCCGCCGCCGCCGCCGCCGCCGCCGCCGCCGCCGCCGCCGCCGCCGCCTCGCGCCTCGCCTCCGTCACCGCCGCCCTCCATCTCGCAGCGGCGCGTCCCTCTCTGATATGGCGCGGGCGCCTCGCTCACCGGCGCCTCGCCGCCGCCCCCCCCCTTTCGTGCGATTCGGAGCCGGAGCCCCTAAACGGCAGGAGGGGGAGGGCTCCGCTGTAGGGTGGTGCAGGGTTCGGAAGGCGCGAATGTGGACCCGTACCAAAGCCCTCCGCCCAAATGGTCGCAGGGGGCACGCCCCCCGGAGGGGGGGGGCTTG